CTGGCCTGAGCTGACAGCGTCTGCTCTAGGGGTCACCTGCATTCCTTCTGCCATCAAAGTCCTCTCAGAGGCAGTGAGGCCCGGAGCACGGGGTACGACTGGGGGAGTGTGGACAAAAGGCAGGTTTCATTTTGCTTCCTGTGCACACGCTGAGTTACTTTGAGGGTCTTTCTGAGTAAGACCATTTCACAAAAGCATCAGGGAAGACAGAAAACGGCGTGTGACATTCGGTTCTTCCTTAGCTCCCACTCTGAAAAGATATTAAGGTTTTAAAAAAGAAGAAAAGAAAGAAAGAACCTGGTTGCCCTCGTTTTTAGCTTCTCTGGCTGCAACAGGGCTTCCCACCCCCTGCTGTCACCCTTCAGGATTTTTATCTTCTGTTCTTGTGTCTACACATCACGCCAGGAGAGTTCATTTCGGCCTCCTCAAAAACTGCACTCTAAATTTGGAATTGGCCTCAAAACTTCTGATCTTTGGGCCTGACTTGTCTGGGTGGGCCCCGCCTCCAGTGCCTCCCCTTATCACATCCAGCCTTGTTCCCAACTGCCTCCCCCGTTGTCCTAGAAACGTGGATTGGTATGATCTGTCACAGCCAAGCAATATGCCACAGGCCCCCAGGCTAACCTGGGAGGATTCTGTCCCTGTTCTTTTCTGGTAAATAATGTTCTCTCCAAGCAGAAAACATTTTCCCTTCATTTTCTAAGAGGTGAACCCTTTGATCCCATTCCAAATTCTTTCTGACCTCACCACCATCTGTTGCAAGTCCCTTTCCTGCCTTTACATCCCTAGAGTTGCCAGAAAGAGGAGGAAGCAATACCTGGTGCATGCCTCAGACCAGCTGCCCACCATCTGGACACAGGCCTGTTAACCCCTGACCTTCAGCATCAGCCTGCCCTACACTTTCCCCCACATAGAGTCAGGAGGAGGAGCCAGGAGCAGCCACCTCCCAGGCTCCCCTGGACAGCGCTTTCTATGCTGAGCTCTAATCAGGAAGTATCTAGACCCAAGCACAGCAGCTGGTCCAGGGTTGCAGGCTGTGCTGTCCCTCCACATGTCCTTGGGCAAACTCACCTGGCTTTCCCAGCTGAGCCCATTTTCTCATCTACAAATGAAGAGACAGAATGAGCTGGCATCTGCCATCAAATGCTCTACCTCTAGGTGCACCTGGGCATTCCACACCTCTATGATCATGAACCATCTTTACTGGAAGAAGCATCCTTTACCAAGTCAGAGAAGGCACCCACGACGTCACCCACAACACCTCCGCATGGGCCACATGAGAAGGTTTCAGCATCCTTCAGTGGATCCAGAGACCTAACCCCCAGACTCAATTCAGAATATTTCTGCAGGAGGCCAGAGCCAACTGGCTCTTATTCCTAGTAATTCCGAAGGTACACAGTGATCTAAAACAAAACAAGAGTCTTGTAGCAGTGCTTTCCAAGCTGCTTTCTGCAGAACGCCAGGACGCTGTCTGGGGCTGTGTTTCACAAGCCGGTTGCCAAAAAAGTTTGGGGAAAACTGGGTGTTTTGACTGCATGTGCCTTGAATGCTGAGCCTTACTTGTGACACTCTACTTAACCTTCATGCAACAGCCTGTTTGGTTTTACAATTTTGCAAATTCTGTTTTGTTGATGAAAACCTGAGGCTCTTGGAAGTTAGGCAACTTCTCCAGAGTCCTACAGCTCGGAAGTGAAGGAGCTGGGATTCTAACTCAGGTCCAGGTGAATCTGGAGCCTATGGCTTGACACTGTGCTGTGTTTTCCGCATTGGCGAGTTCCAGGAAGAAGCTGCCAGCCCTGAGGGGCTGCCTTTGTCCCAGCTGAAACCCATCAGAGAAAATGGAACTGCGTGGGCCCGGTGGCTCACATGTATGACCTCAGCATTTCAGGAGACTGAGGCAGGAGGATTGCCATGAGTTCAGGGACAACCTGAACTATGGAAGAAGTGAATCACCATAGACTACAGACATTAAAATAATAATAAAAGAATATTATGTTCAACCTTACGGCAATAAATTTTACAACACAGATAAAATGGACAAAGTTTTTGATAAACTATAATTAACCAAAATTGACACAAGATGAAGCTGAAAATCTAAATAATTTTATCCAAGAGAGACATTGAGTTCTTTATTCCTTCCCAGGAAGAAAACCCTAAGCCCAAAAAGACAACAACTTAAACCTTCTCAACACACACACACAACAGCCTCTATTTAGAAATGACAGATACACTGCCAGGCATGGTTACATACACCTATAACTCTAGCACTTAGGAGGCTGAGGCAGGAGAACCACAGGTTCAAGCCCAGCTTGGACTATATACAGTGATCTTGAGGCCAGCCTGGGAGACTTTGTCTAAAAAAAAGAAAGAAAAGATAGATACATTAATTAGCTGGATTGTGGTAATCATTACAGGATATATAATAAATATATAAATATATCAAAACATCAAGTTGAACAATTTAAATACTTATAATTTTTATATCAATAAAACTATTTTGTAAAAGAAAGAAAAAAGAATGCCAGGGTTGGTCCCAGCTACTTGGGAGGCTGAGCAGTAGGATCAAAGTTCAAGTCTTGTCTGGACAACTTGGCAAGACCCTGTCTCAAAGTGAAATTTAAAAAGGGCTGGTCATGTAGCTTGGCATGTCTGAGGCCCTGGGTTCCACATCCCCAGTAACACAGACACACAGACACACACACACACACACACACTCACACGCACACACTCACACGCACACATACACACAAAAGCCCAGGTTTTTTCCCTGTTGAATTCTATAAAACGGTTGAAGAAATAACATCTTACCTAAATTCCTCAGAAAATAGAGCAGTGGGAATGCTTTCCGATTTGTTTTATGAGACCAGCAGTAAACAGATACCAAAACACATCAAAGATGTTATAAGCGAACAGGCAGATAAACAAACAATGCCAATATTCTAACTTAAGACTTGTTACTGTGCCACGCTTCCCAGACAGTTCAGAAGGGGGGCTTCACTGTCACAGGCACGCAGACTCAGCTTGATGAAATGTCTGCTTCAGCATCTGCTTCTGCTGTGGCTGGACAGAAGGGGGACAGAGCAGACGGCACCCTGTCTATCACAGCCGAGGAGCCAGGTAAAATGAGGGTCAGGGCAAGTGTGGTAGCTCACACCCACCTGTAGTCCCAGCTTCTCTATAGGCTGAGGTAGGCGGATCACAGGTTCAAGGCCAGCCTCGGCCACTCAGCCAGAATGTCTCAAAATAAAATTTTAAAAAGGCTTGACGATACAGCTCAGTGCCAACCAGGATGCGCTGCCACAGGCCCAGAGCACGGACTGGAATCTTAAAACTGTGGGCCAAAATAGATCTTTTCTCTTTATAACCTGATTAGCCCAGGTACTTCTGTTAGTGACAGAAAGCTGACTAACACGGGGGATCAATCCATTTCTATACATCAGCCTGAAACACTATGCTTCAATCTCTGGTAACCGAGGGAATCCTGCGTAACAGGCGCCCTGCCTGCCACCCTGTGCCCAAGCCCGAGAGCTCCCACCTTCCTAGGGGGCAGATGCAGTTCAGTCAAAGGGCACTTGCCTGACACACGCAAGACTCTGGGTTCGATCCCTAGTGTGATGTGTGCGGGGTGAGCTAGGGGGTCCTCACCTCCTAGTTCTGTGTCCTTGTGGGTCCCCTCCCGGACCACACCGTGGACCCCTGAATGGACCACAGTGATGTATGACTTCCAAAGCTGGGTGGAGACAGCCCTGTGTCTCACCAGGCACAGGGCACTGCATAGCGCCATGGCTTCCACAAGGGCACGTGGACAGGTCCTTGGCCTAGTCATGGGGAGCCAGGGTAGGTTCCTGTGGAAGTAATGCCTTGACAAAATCCTAAAACCTTACCCTCCCTTCTGACCATCTGGTGGACGCAGCTCAGTGGATAACACTTACCTCTTTAGAACAGGCTCAAAATCCCTGCAAGGTGTCAGGAGACACCGCTGGTGAGTGTGTGGGTGCACCGCAGAGAGCCAGACCAAGTCCCTACTCCCCATTAGGTCACGTCTGAGCATTTTCTCAGGGGCTGCCTACACTCAGAGCACAAGCGCAGACACACACACGCCCAGCAAAGCTGTTGCCGGGGTGGGGGTTGGGAGGGGGTGGGAGGCTGCGCTGACCGGCTGTCTCCACTCCTATCTGTCTGTCTGTCTGCTAGCACGGCCCTGCCCAAGCTCCCTGGCGCCCTCTCCCCTTCCCTGTAGAGGCCAGGCCAGCCTTCCCGTCTCCCTCGGTCTGCCTTGGAAGCCACCGGCCTTCTTTTCTTCCCCTCTGCTAAACCACTTTGTTCTTGTGATGCCCGGCCAGCAGGCATCTCTGTGTACGTTTCTGAGCCGCCTGGCCTGCTGATGGGCATGTGCACGGGATTGGGAGGAGAGGGTGGACTCCACCCTGTGAGGTGGAGGAGGCAGGGGAGCGCACTGGTCAGCTCCCCACATCCATACAGGCCTGGCCCGCAGTCGCAACCCCTTCCAGTCCCTAAGCTGGCGCGGTTGGGTTTGACTTTGACTGAGAAGCGGAAGAGAAAGAAACGCACACGGAGGGGGGCGCAGTGCACTATTTTATGTTTTGCCCCCAGGTGAAGCTGTCTGGACTGACCTTCCGCCCTGTGGGTCAAGGTTCCAGGGAACCACTGCAGGGATGTTCTATCCTCCTTGGAGCTGGAGGTGGGCAGAACCCAGGTGGGACTGTACCCCACCCCACCCCACCACTTAGCCCTGCACCCCACATGCATATTGGCACTGCAGGGCTGCTGTCTGCAAAGAATGTGAGTTATCCCTAATCTCTAATCTTCCTGCTTTGAGGTTGAATCAAACCCAGCCAACCTTCTGACCCGCACTGAACAGGCTCCCACCCCACACAAGCCTTCGAGTTAGTGCGGGCCAAGGCGGGGAGGCTCCGCCCCCTGCCCCCCCCCCCCGCCGCCGCTTAGCCAATCACCGAGCTCTTCAGGTTTCCCGACCAAGGCGGGGGAGGGGCTGCAGGGGTTTCCAGGCCTGCAGGCTGCGTGCTCCGGGGGCTGACGCAACTGTACAATTTGGCTTCTTTTTATCACATATATCATTTTGCCATATATGGTCACCGAGAGCTACTGGCAGTGGGGCCCGGGTCCAGATGGTGGGCTCCCAGGGTGGAATGAGCTTCATACCAGCCCAGAACAAACAGACCATCGCTCAGCCGCCGGACAGGTGGGTGGGCCAGAGCAGGGTTATATATAGCTCTGGTCGCATTCCTTCACTAATGCATCTTGGCCCCCAAATGTGCAAACAATCTCCATTTCTGGCTCTTTTTACTGAATTTGCTATTCTTCCATAACCAAGGGAACGGGAAAAAATCCGGGAGGAATGCGGGGGAAGAGGTCTGCCGCCTCCCCCACTTCCTCTCTGGATTCTCCAAGCCCCTGTCTCTCCCTCCCCTCTCTTCCGCCCCTGTGCCCCCCTCCAGCCCCATCCCACCTCCAGGGCCTGCCCTTAATTCCTTTCCTCCTGCACCCTTCAGCCAGGTGAAGCTGCCCAGGTGCGAAGGATTCCCGAGGAGAGCACGAGTCAAAGCAGCGCGGCAGACAAGAGCCCAGAGTCTCCGGAACCTTTGCGTGCCAGTGGTCGGAGGGTCCCCCTTCCCTGCTGGCCTAACCTCCAGGGGAGCTGCCTCAGCCTTGCCGGGGTGCAGCAGGATCTGACAAAGGTGACACGTGCAATACAGAAAGCTAACCCTAGAGAGACTAAAAGATGCTAATAAATACTGGGATCCCCAGAAGAGGTCCAAACACCAGTTCTTTACACCCTGGGCCGTTTCCCATTCACTTGTGAGGATCTCACTCAACAGCTCCGACCTGAGGCAGCTCCCGAGGGCAAACCTAGGGACACTCACAGCAACAGAGGTCTCTGGATGTCAAGGGCAAGGAGGCCACTAACCTCCCGCATGGTGTCCTGAAGCCCTCCTCAGAGACCGCCCACTCTACCTAAAATGTGGCCTATAATTCACTTCCAGAATCGTATTCCCCAGACCTCCATCTCAGGGAGGCTTAATCCTGAAACTTTTTAAAATTAGCACAGCCACTCAGGAGGCTGAGGCAGGAGGATTACAAGTTCAAGGGCGGTCCGGGCAATTTAGCAAGACCCTATTTCAAAAGAAAAGAAAAAAAAAGTCTGTGAGCATGTGGTTCAGTTATCCTTGGGTTCAAACCCCAGTCCTGGGGAGCAGAGCTGCTGCTATTAGAACTGTTAGAGTCCGGGGTGCTTCTCGGGTGTATGATACAGCATAACTGCGTAGAGTTGATTCTCCATCTTTCTAGGGTCTGCATCCATGAACTCAAGCAACCTTAGACCAAAAATTCTTCCCAACGGGGTGGGGATATAACTCAGAAGCACAGCCCCTACCTGGCAGGCTCGAGTTTGATCCCTGGTACCTAAATAAATAAATAACCAAAATACTTCCCCCCCAAAACATCCAAGAATATTCCGAAAAGCAAAACTTGCATTTGGTGCCCGAGGAGTAAGCATTAGGCTGAATCCACTCAAAGGAGGTGATGGCTGGGCACATCCCGCTGTGACCATCGCTTCACCTGCCCACCACCTCACCAGCACTTGGTGTGAGCACTGTTCACCTATCCGTACTGTATTGTTCAGCCTGCTGTGGCTGTATCTGCACTGGATGGATCCAGACTGTTTTTCCTTTACATTATCCCCTAAACAACACAGCACAGCAGCGCACTTACACTTAGTTATAGGTAATCAAGAGATGACTTAAAAGTCTACAGGAGAGGCCGGGGTGGTGGCTCACACCAGTCATCCCAGCACTTGGGGGGCTGAGGCTGCAGGATTGCCCAGAGTCTGAGGCCAGTATAGGCTAATTCAAGGGCAGCTTGAACTGCATAGCAAGAGCCTGTCTCAAATAAATAAATTATTAAATAAATAAAAGCCTACAGGAGAATATTCACAGCTTCTACGCAAGTACCATGCCATTTTCTGTAACAGACCTGAGCATCTGTGGATCGTGGCATCTCCTGGAGTCCTGGAAACATCCTCGGTGGATACCAAGGGACCATCCAGCTTCCCAGGTAGATGTGTAACAGCTGCAAACCAGGCTGCAGCTTCTGATTCCCTGGCTTGGGGGAGCCTCAGGCTCCCACGCAAACCCACTGACCAGGGACATAAAGAGTCTTCTTGGTCAGTGAGGGTGAGCTGTAACCTGGGAGTTGGAATCCTGATTGTTGCTTGGCTCCGCCCTGAGTTGGCAGGGTCCCCCAATACATGCTCCTAATTTCTTAAAATCCTTGTCTCTTTAACTGTAAAATCAGAAAGTAGAGAAGTTTGATAAAGATCGAATAAGATTATTTACATAACAGTAACTATTACTTGGTATTTACATAATAATAAGAACTATTGAACCATCTCTGTACCATTCCGTGTTGGCTGCTGGAGATGTGTTATTTCATTAAGTTCTATTCCTTTGTCTATTTTATTTTATTTTATTTTTTTGAGACAGGGCCTCACTGTGTAGTTCAGGCTGGCCTTAAATTCACTGTACAGCCCAGACTGGCCCTGAACTTGTGGCAACCCTCCTGCCTCAGCTTCCTGAGTGCTGGAATTGCATGTGTACCACCATGTCTGGCTCTTCTGCCAATTTTAAAGATGAGAAAACTGGCTCAGAGGAGCTAGATCACTTGGCCAGCACCCCCCAGCTGCCACATGGGAAGCTGGAAAACAGCTCGTAGAATCCCAGAGCTGGAACCCCAGAGCTTGGGTGTCTAAGCAGCCCCATTGCCTTCCTTCCACACCAGTCAGCCTTGAAAGAACTTAGTGCTATTTGCCTTTCTTCTGGAATGTCAAGGCCGAGCCTGGCAAGACAGGCTCAGGAAGGACACTCCGGTTTGTACAGAGAATGCCCTTGGTGCTTGCCTTGGTGTTAGCGCAAAGGCAGTGTGGTGGGTCCACTGGCCTACATTGTGGACACCCAGGAGTGGACTTCAAAGCTCACCCTTTCATTTAATAAGAGCACAGGAATAGTGAGCGGTCCAAAGAGGAAGCGAAGCGGGGAGAGTGAGCCGAGCATCTCAAGGGAGAGGCCACCTGAATGAGAAGCCCGGGACTTGGGGCCAGCACTCTGCAAGTGGAGGCCAAGGCAGGAGGCCAGGTGAGAGGGCTGCCTGGAAATGGTTTTGTCTCGGGGCATGTTTTGTGTTCTTTGTTGACAGCACTTAATGGAATTTGGACTTGAGAGATTAAAGTTCAAGAGACTGTTGATTTCTAAGAGGTGCTTTGCCTGGATCGAGGGGGAAGCGGCACCAGTAGGAATTTTACCATGTTGCCCAGCAGGCTGCCCGCAGCTGGATATAACTGGTAACTTATCAGCTATCGTAACTCGTAATAGCTACTTATCAGTAACTGTTAAATGTAACTGCTATCATTTTATAATATGAAGCCTAAAATAAATTGTAAGTATATATAATATAAAATAATGTATGAAAAAAATTATGGTTATATATTATAAAATTATATTCAACACATTATCCCTCTCCTCTCAACATCTTTTTAAAGTATATTCAGCTCTTAATTTAAAAATGAAGTAGACTGATTTTGAAAGACAGTAACTTTATAAAACAAAAGAGAAACCAGTTCCTAGCTACCTTATTTGGTTGGTTACGATCTTTTGGTTTTTCTGTTTGTGTTTGTTTCTCTGTTTGAGACAGGGTCTCAGTATGTAGGCTGTCCTTAAACCCACTATTAGCCCAAGCTGGCTTCGAACTCACAGCAACCCTCCTGCCTCAGCCTCCCAAGTGTTGGGATTACAGGCATGAGCCACCAGGACTGGCTCCCAGTTTACTAAAGCCAGATTTAAATGATTCTTGCTCTTCTTCCTGATGATTTGATTGACAGGAAAGTTTAACTTTTTGTTTCCCTCTTGCTGGATTTAATGGCCACACTTTCTTCTTTCTACAAGGAAAGTGTCTCAGACTTTGGAATTCGCATCGCTCAGCATTGCACTGGCTGCTGTACAGCCCATGGTGCTGCTGGGTTTGAAGGTGGGTGTGTGGCCCTTCTCGGTCCCTACCCCTGTGTCATTGCATCACAGGGATATGAAATGTATGCAGCAGGAAGCCTCCCTGTGGGAGCTGGTGCTCCATTTGCCTTCCAGGGGGAAAAAAGCAGATAAGAAAAACCCACAAAAAGCTGTGCAATGATTCATTTTTTTTTGGTCTTTTTGTTTTTATCGGTACCCGGGATTGAACTCACGACTGCCTGCTTGCAAGGCAGGCGCTTATGCTGCTGAGCTAAATCCCCAGCCCCTGTGCAATGATTCTTGATCCTATCAGATGCACCCCAAGGGAGACAGAAGCTCACCCCAGGGAAGAGCACACCAGGCCCCAGGGAGGCTGAGTCAGGGAAACCACACCGAGGAGACTCAGGCTCCTCAGGGGCCGTGTCATTCTTTTAAAACATTTCCACTGTAATTTTCAAATATGTACAAAAGCACGGGAAATAGGAGGCCCTCCTGCCGCTCACTCAGTTTTAAGTTGTCAGCACTGTTGTTCTGGCTTCATCCTTTCCTCCCACATGGCTTTTCCTTTTTCTGGAATACTTAAAAGCAAATTTCACATCTATTACTTCACCCATAAATACATCAGCATTTATCTCTAGCAGATAAGGACTTTGTTTTTAACACAGCCGTCATCCTCGTATCACAGCCAACACAAATAATTCCTTAATATCAAATAATCTGGGCTCCGTTTTCCTGGTTTCAAAAATGCCTATTTTTGGTCTACTCAAAGCAGAATCCAAACAAGGTTCATACTTCACATTTGGTTGACTCGGGTTTATCATTTGTAAGTTTCCACTCCTCTGCTCCGTATATTTCGTGGTGTTTGTTTGTCGAAGAAACTGGTTCATTTGTCCTTTAGAATTAGTCTCCCGGGCTGACCATAGTCACGTGGGGTCACTGGAGTGGTCTTTAAAGACAGAGTCTACGTTAAAATCCGAGAGGGCACCTCAGTGCCACCTGGGGGGACTTGGGACCTTTCGGAAGCCTTGGCCCTTTGCCTGGTCATTCTGATTCCAGACTCAGGCTGGAGCCTAGGAGCGTTTTCTTAAACTACCCAAGTCATTCTGATGTACAGCCTTAGGTTGACAATGCGCTTTCTTGTTGGACTTTTCTCAAATCTACTGATTATCTAGGAATAATACTGTAAAGAAGAGAGGAGAGGAGGAGAAGGGGAAAGAGAAGGAAAAGGCAGCAAATACTTAGTATAAGCACTCATTTTTAAAAATTCTTTTTATCGGTACCAGGGATCGAACTGATGACCACCTGCTTGCAAGGCAGGTACTTATGCCGCTGAGCTAAATCCCCAGCCCCTATAAGCACTCATTTTGATTGGTAGGACTTAGACTGAGATAGTGTTATTGAGAAAGAAATAAGTGATTGAAGTTACAGGTTTATAAGTTTAGGGAAACAAAAACACTATGAAAATGAAGCATCTCAAGTCCACGAGGGAGCCGGTGTTCTAACCTCTCCTCCTGACACACCCAGCTGAGACATCCAGGCCACTGGTGCCATGAAGAGGCGGTTATCAGGCCCACACTCGGAGTGGGGTTCTGCACCCTACCGGGGTGGGGCTCCCCTTTTAACTCTGCGGTCTGAATTCCCCACCTTGAAGATGGATTCCTCTTAGTACTGTACTTAGTACTCCTTTATGACCTGCTTCTGAGAATAAGAAACACTGAAATGAAACAGAAGCATCTAAGTTTAAATACTTGTTGCATTCAGCGCATGGGACAAATCCCTTTTGTGGCATTTTTAAAAAACAAAATTCCACTACAATTTAGAAAAGCGTATTTGAAATAACTGCTTGGTAAGTACTTAAAGAATACAAAATTGAAAGGACGCCCTTTATGAGTGAGTATAATAAATGTCTCATTCACAGATGTGGGTCACATAGAGATTTAAAAGATTTACATTGGGAAAAAACCATAAAAGAAAAATTCATAAATTTGACTCATTAAAGTATAACATGAGTAATAAGTCATAAGTCTACACAGTATCATAAACAAAATTAATTCAAGAAGAAGACAATGGAACTCACTTAAATGTCGCTCAAATGAGAATAATTTTGAACAAAAGGATCCATTCTGGGGAATATGTAGGACTTTGGAAGGGTGCAGTAGTTTCACTATGTACTACCATAGTGGCGTTCTCCAAGACTCAAATTTAAATTTTAAAAAACCTACAAATCATAAAATTTTGAAATTTGATATGCAGGTTGCCTCTCATTTGTGGAAAAAAAACCACTGAATCGGGGCTGGGGATTTAGCTCAGCAGCCTAAACGCCTGCCTTGCAAGCACACAGTCGTGAGTTCGATCCCTGGTACCAGTAAAAAAAAAAAACCCACCAAATCGTGTACACATACATGCGTGTGTGGAAATGAATCCTTAGAAGAACGCATGGCAGATGCACGCCTTTCTAGGCAGGGGATCAGAACATGAAGGGTTAATCAGGGAAATCTGTGGCTTTTTCTGCAGTTTGAGTTTTTTATGAGAATGTTTTTTATAAATGCTTCCCAAATTAAAAGGAACCAAATAACTGTCGCAGAACACAGAAAAGGATGGAACGCTTCCCAATTCAATTTACAAAACCAGCGCCAGGCCTGAGACTGAAACCCTACAACACGAGTGCAAATAAAAAGGCCGGAGATCAATTTCACTTATGAATATGAATGGAAAATTCCTATGCAGAACATGAGCAAACGGCATCCAGCAGTATATGAAAAGCATGACTAAGCAGGCTTTATTCCAGAATCACAGGGATGAATGAATATCAAAAATCTAGTCATGCCGCTTACCAAGACAGTCAGTGCCGCCCTGAGACCAGGGCAGGAGGGCGCCACCCCACAAGCCTCCTCTTCCTGCTGCCCCCAAAGAATATTCTCGGCCAAGGTGACAACGGTGTGTCTGGTGTCCCTCCTCTGTCAAGATCACACTTCCCCCCTCAGCATCCTGCCTCCCCAATTCCCTGCCCAAATGGCCTAAACATTTCCAGAGCCTCCATGGGCCTTTCTTTGGTTCCATTCCACAAGTGGGTCTTGCACCAGGCTGGCACACACCCCTGGAGCTCAGGATGGCGGAGGTGCGGCTGTTGGAGTGGAGGATATGGAAGGCTGGAGATTAGGGGGATGCGGGCTAGGAAGTCTTTAGTTGTGCATACTGGTCCCTAGTGGTGAAGGATGCAGCTGAGGTTGAGTCTCTATGCATCCGAATTCTACCATGAAATTGCCAGAAGCATGATAATTCTAAATTTAAGCCTAGCCTTCCAGGTGGTTGTGCAGGGTAAATATTAAGGTAAAAGACAAGAGAAGATTTTACTTAGCAGTTTGATGTTTTTGCTTTAAAATCCTATTTTTTCTAAATCCTTTTTATTTCAAGAATAAAAAGAAAGAAAAGGAAAAAGGGAAGAAGGACAAGAAGGAGAAGAAGAAAATCGAAGTACTAAGCAATGGAGCATTTGTATTCTTGGTCCAGGACCCATAATCGTGAAGGGTAACCCAGCCAGGAATGAACCGAGGCAGGAAAAACACCCTACCACAAATAAGGCCCGAGAGACGAATCAGGAGAATGGAGAGGCAGGGTAAGAGGAAGATAAAAATGGAGATGTCCTAAGACTGCATCCCTGGGTACCTAGGGTACACTTCCCGTTGCCTTCCCTTGGCCAAGTGGGGTGAGAAACGCCAGTGTGACAGAGATGGAGAAGACTCAGTATGAATTCTGAAACTTCAGGGTGGTGCACGTGGTGACTGTCACCTAAGAGTTGGGAGCAACTTTGCCATATAAATGGTCGTTTTCATTTGTTTTTTAAGCCTGACAGTTTTATAAAAGAGAAATCATTATGACTGGCCCTTTCACACTCAGCCCTAAAGCAGGTCCCCTTGGTGGTTCTCAGAGAAACTGCGGAGTTTCGAGCTGAAGGTTTGCGGAGGGTTGTGGTTCCCTCCTGTCAGAGTGGCTGCCAACTCAGTGTACGAATGAGCACTGCTCTGGCTCTAACTGTGGAGATGTGGTTTTCTGTTTATTTTTTTAAGCCGGATTTGATTTCTGGATATTAAAGTCCAAGGAACAGACCAGAAGTGGAGGCACTCCGAGATTGCTGGGTGGTTCTTTATCTTTAAATTTGCCCTCAACCTCCTGGTGTATGTCCTACACAGAATGACTCTTTTTTTTCTCTTCCTCCCTTCCCTCTTTTCTTTCTCCTTTACTTCCTTTCAATCCTTCCTTCCTTCCTTCTTTCTTTTTTCCTTTATTGCACTGCTGAGGATGGAACCCAGGACCTTGCACAAGTTAAACAAGCACTGTATCACTGAGCTGTGTCCTGACCTTTGGTTCTCTTTAAACATGTCTTTAAAAATGGTATAATGTACCTTTTGTAGAATTTACCCATTTTAAGGATACAGTTAGACAAGTTTTAGTAAATTTATAGTTGTGCAACCATCACTGGAATCCAGATTTAAAATATCTCCAGTCACTCTAAATATTTAGTTTGTGTTCATTTGTAATCAGTGCTGGCTCCAACCTCGTGCTTCAGGCAACCACTGGTCTGCTTTCTGGGTCTAAGGTTTTGTCTTTTTAAAAAATTTAACATAAAATCCTGTAGTATGTGGTCTTCTGTGTCTGACTGCTTATATTTAAGAGGAATATTTTTGAGGTTCATCCATGCTGGGGAATGCATCAGTACTTCATGCTGAGATACAGAGGCCATACTTTTACTGAATAGTATTCCGTGTGTGCATTTCCCACATTTTTAGCTGATAGACTTTCAGGTTTTGAAAAATGTTGCTATGAGCTTTTGCTATAAGTCTCTGTATACACGTGTACTTGGATTTCTTTGGGTACCTAGGTAGTAGTGAAATTGTTCATCCATATAAAGTCCAACTTAAAATATAACCACATCTTAAAATACAACCAGCAGGCATCCATCCTGATAAGGCATCACTAATGATTTCGTAATGTATTTCTAAAACCCAAGGTGATTACGACGTCACTCGCGGGGTCACCATCGCTGCCTGGAATGCTAAATGGCTGCCTGACAGTTTTGTAAGGCGGCTATGTCATGTCAGTTCTCTCCAGCATAACTGATGGCTTTGCTTCTGGCGTCCTCACTCACATAAGTACCGTGTCCTTGATTGTAGCCCTCCTAGGGGGGCATTCCGTGGTTGTGCGAGTTTGTATTTTCCTGATGTCTGACAGCACGCATCCTCCGTGTGCTTATTTACGTCTGTGCCTCTTCAGTGAAGAATTATTCGGGTCTTCTGCCTATCTTTACCCTGGGTTTTCTTCTGGTCTGTTAAAACATAAATTGGGCCAGGCTACCTCTGTTGCCGAAAATCTTCCATGCTCAGAGGGTGAAGACCTACACCAGGAATGGTGAGCCCTGTACACCCTTCAGGGGTTATAAACAGCCAGCCAGAGGATGCGTGCTGCGGGTTCCCGCCACCGACCTAGATCTTTGTGTGGCCTCCTGCCTCAGCCTCCTCTGCTGCATTGTTCCTGCCACTTTGATCTTCAGTCTGAGTCTCTGTGCAAGGAAGCAGGCAGCATCTGCCTTCCTGGAGGCCTTTGCACCTTTCTCTCCCTCTCCTACCATCTCCTCTTCTG